ATAGCTATACCATGCTATCCCATATTATAGTCTTAGTAAGTATCTTAAGATTCTTACTCTAGATCAGGATTATCAGGTCCTGAAACTGCTATTGCCCAGGCTGTTAGATAGACTCTAGAATACTGGCCCATACCAGCAGCAGTATCTCAGGCAGGAGAAAATAGAACAGAAGCTGCTGCCATGTTACTGGATCTATTTACTGGAATTATAATTCTATTCCACAGGCAGTACTATTAAGCTGGCTGTGGTTAAAGCTAGATAAATAATACTGTACAAGAGAGCTATTATAATGCTAATAGATAGTAAAAAGAAGAATATAATCTATCCAGGTCTGAAAATCCTTATTCTATAAGCAGCTTAATTACTGCTTCTTCCAGTAGAGCTAAGGAAATAGTATATAAAGAGAGATATTCTTAAATCTAATAAACTAGCTAAAGATATAGTACAGGATCTTATATACTAGTCAGTGGATCTAATAGAATTAACTATACTAGTCCCAGTACTGAACTGAAAGGGAATCCAGGTATAAACTGGACTAAAGATTAAATACTACTATCTAAGTTAGATTCTATTATACTTCCTGCTTTGCTACTACTAGACTAGATATAAATCCTACTATACTATTAATATTAAAGATAACCTCTATTACTGTATCCGCATGATAATCAGTGGTAAGGCAGATATAAATCAGGTCAGGATTAGAATCAGGAGAGATTATATAAATATTATAATAGATCTATTACTTTTACTTACTGTTAACTTACTCCACCAGATTATTCTTTCTCTTGGCTATTATTAGAACCTGAAGAATATCAGAAAACCTGCCTTCAGTCTGGATTTGCTATAGATAGTCTTTCAGGCCTGTATAATCAGTATATTAGATATTATACTTAGCCTGCTGCTAGCTATAACAGTGCTCACAGTAACTATAATAATAGTAGAGTTAATCTATCAGAGACTGGCCAAGAGCTTAGACTGTGCTGGAGATCTCTATATAATAGAAATAGCTAGATAATTCTGGGCTAACTGATTCCGGGCCAACATATAGATAAGATAGATTAGGCAAGCCAGAACTACAGAATAAAATAGGGCTCCAGACAGTAATCTTAACAGAGATAGTCAGGAAAAAAGCAGGCACAGATGGTTCTTTATTAGAAATAATTAGGAATATAATATCAGAAGCAGAATTAACTGGTAATATTAGAGAACTGAGAGACAGTAGCAGTTATTCTAATTCTCTAGAGATAGTTATTTTATCTGAGAAGAAGTAGATAGTTACTGGTAGATTAATCTTAGTCAGTACAGTGATAGTAGGGATATAATACTGATTAAACTTAGTACTCTACTCAGCTATATAAGTAGCTTATTACTGCCTCTATTATTGAACTATATTAGATGCTTATTTCTATGCTGTTAATAAATATACTCGCGGTTGCCCTTATTTACAGACTGGATAAATAGATAATTAGGGTGCTATAGCTACTGCGTGATGTAAGAGAAGTAATATATTATAATTAAGAAAATTTAGAAGTAATTAGAGACTGAAATAAGATATTAATATTAAGAATATATTATAATATCTATACTACTAATCTAAAAGAGATAAGTATATCTGCTATTTCTAAAATAGACTTAGGTTTTATATAAAAACCTAAAACAGTTTAGTTTTGACTATAAAAATCAAAAAGGATTTAGTTTTAACTATAAAAATTAAATAGCATGATTAGATAATCCTGACCCGCGAAAACTATTAAAATCCTTAACTTTGACAATACATATCTTAATAATAACAGAAGATATTATAGATCTGACAGTAAATATATATTCTGCAGGGCCTTATTTATTTTCTGTGTAATTTTAGTGTTTATTAGTTATGGTTAAAGCTCTAGGCATAGTCAGGTTTTTGCCTATGGTTTCCCGCGCGATCTATTGCTGGGAGCTGATCCGATCCCCCCGGGGATACTGGGTCCAGCCGTGGGCAGTGTATTAATACTATCATATACCCTTAATACTGCGTGCGATATACCGGCATTAGGGGTACTTCCGCTAATATAGCAATCTATCCGGATGGATGGGTAGCTCAGGGATCCGCCATGCCAGCTGATAGGGAAACTTAACAGTGTCAGTATTGGTAGTAATCCCCTCCTACTGGGCCACAGTATTCTGGATTGCCACGGTATCAGCATCAGCTATCTGATACACCCGGTTCTTTAAATAATAGGTGATCTCCTGGGGCCACACGCCGTGCGCGCACTGGCGACATATAATTATAGAGACAGCATCAAGCTTTTTGAACAGCTGGGATTCCATGGTGGATAATAGACACGGTCAGGGAGAATATAATATAAATGGAATTATAATGGAACTGGGTGTGTAGGAATTCTTTTCTTAATATATAGTACTATTATCCCTGAAATAATACAGAATATAATGAACTTGTTAATTCGTGATATTTAATTCTATTCTATATAATTTTACTGGGATATCTCCTGGTTATCCTAATACAATAAAATAATTGCCAGTGGGCTAGTTAATCTATACTATATTAATATACTGTTTATTTACTTCTAGTTTAGACTAGGAATAACTATTGCAGCTGGCTGGGCTGGTAATGATCAGGTATCTATATCAATCCTAATAGATTGGGACTGACTGCTAATTCTGTTATTGGACCATGAAATACGCGCTAACTAGCCAATAAATTAATGTTATCTTAACTTACTGTTTAGACTGGGATGTTAATCAGCTGTCAGTATAAACCCTAATTAGATATGAATGGCTCCCAGATAACAGTTGGAACATACCTTAATAAATTCTACCTACAGATCATGATTAACTTTCTATTACTATCCTCATTATAAATAATTAAGTTGGTATCTCTGATTTAGCTAAGTTACGCGGGAAGGAGTTATTAACCATAAGTCTAATTTTAAAATCAATTGACTAATATCCTGTCAAGCAAGACAATAATAAACTAATCTTGGACAAGAGAATATAAATCCTAACTTTTTTCAGCTAATCTGTATCTATTTCTTGCTAAGATAAAAACTCTTTTTTATCCCTTATAGACTAGAGTCTATAGAACCCTAGATAAGGCCAATTTCTTTCACCTGGAGACCTGATATCTAATATTTCTGGATAGCCGGAATCTGGATATTCTAAAGGGTCTATTTACTATAGACTAGCAGGATCATAATCAGGCAGAGGCCCTATTTGATATAATATACTCTATTCTAGTAAATAACTAGCAGAAGCTGTTTTAGATCCCAATCCAGATATTATTTGCCTTAAATTTATTTACTAGAGACAATTCCTCTATAAAGCGCTTTAGATCTCTCCAGAGCCTAATTATCTTTTTAAACTATACTTATATCTTTCAAGCTTTTCTAATCTTTCTATTGAATTTCTATCAAGATCAGATCATCCAGAAGTCCCAGGGCCTCCAGGCAGTCCACTATCTCTATCAGCTAGCAGCTCCTGAAGTTGATATCCTACAGGCCCTGGAGACCTTCCTAGCTCAGGTCCGGCCATACCAGACCTAACCAGCTGGGACCACCCCCTCTAGGGTTCTCCAGCCGGACTGGCAGGACCATCTAGAATCAGAATCAGATTCTGATCAAGAGAATCAAGATTTAGAGGATCAAAACAGAGACCTTGAAGCAGGCTCTCAGCCAGGTCAGCCAGGTCAGCCAGGTGCGCCAGGTGCTCGGTCAGGTGCTCGGCCAGGTACTCAGCCAGGTGCTTGGCTAGGTGCAGAATGGTCAGATTCTTCAGATAATGAATTAAAGCTAGAGCTTTTTAGACCCCCAAATCACTGAGTTAGCTGATTTAGAAAACAGGATATTTAAAAAGAAGCCTGTCTGGTCCAGGATCTAGCCCAAGCCCTGGTAGAGAAATGGCTAAAGAATCAATTTACCTGTTCTCTCTATGCCTTTCTGGCCTGCTTTAGTAGGGATTATACCCGTGACTGCTTTAAATATATCAGTCAGATTAGCCATATCTATTCTATAATATTAAAAGTCTTTCAGTTTATCTTTTTAATCTATATATATAAAGAGATATATATGGATCAGATCCAGTCCCCAGAGCCTATGAGTGAATATATCAGGGAATAGATGACCCAATACTGTACCAGTCAGGCAGAGACATCCCTAGGAATCCTGCTGGGCCACTGAAATCTAGCACTATTCCTGATCTGTAATAGTACAGCCCTAGGTCAGGTAGTTCTAGTAGGCCCCTACTAGTTCAAGTATTAAGCTCTACTGATCTCACAGCAGGAGCTACAGAGCTTTTTCTACTGGATAATTCAGGATCTTGCAGATCAACTGGTAAATAAGCTCTTTCTAGATTTTGATTATTTTAGATAGATAGCAGCCTCAATCTCTTTATTAGAGATATCAAGATATAAAGACTTTCAGAATCCAGCCAGAGATTTCAGTTTTAGAACTAATTATTCCTAAAAGTCTCACTGGGATATCTTTTTGATACAAAAGATCCTAGGACCAGCCTAACAGACTATCTGGTTCCAAAAGACCTGATCTGATCAGGAGGAAGCTCTGGAGCTAAATCCTAGACCAGCCAAGGCCTATCTAGCTAAGATATCTCAATTTCTCAAGACTCTATCCATTCTATATCATATAACTAGTGGTGCCCCAGCCCGTGGAACTGAGCTAAACCAGGTCCTGTTCCAGAATTCAGCCTCAGGTCTCAGGCATCTCTTTCTGGACCCGAGGCACCAGCAGTTTCTAATTCACCTGGCCTATTCAAAGACCTTTAGCCAGACTGGTCAGGTCTGTAAGGCTATTAGGGCTCTGCTAGAGGCAGTATCCTGGCTTCTACTGATCTATCTAATATATATTAAGCCTTTTCTGGAATTCTTGATTATTCAGCTGAACCGCAGCCTTTCTAGAAAGCCAGAGCATCTCTAGACCACCTTTAGGGTTTCTCACCTGTCTAGGGTTTTAGTCAGGCCTATTGATTCCCGGACACTATCAACCACTATGAAAACCCTAATGGTTGCGAAGCTGGGTCAGCCGCTTGGGATGAGCACCTGGCGGCACCTGGCCCAGGCCATCATTCGCTATGGGATGCAGAAGCAGGTGCCCGAGGAAGGCCCCGGGGATGACCAGGATAATGAGGGCCTCGGGGCCCAGCAGATGCATCATTCCAGAAGAACCGGCCAGCAGATCTATGGCCGCCAGCAGGTACAGTTTGGCTAGGTCAGGCTGGATCACCAGGAGGCCCTGATCCAGTTCAGCCAGTGCTGGCATACCTATTTAGGGTTAGCACCAGGTCAGATAATTCTGGACCGCCTATTCTATCCCCATGCAGAGCAGAGAGGCCCTGGTATTGATCCGGATGGCAACCTGGATGGCAACCTGGATGGTAATCACAATAGCAACCATGATATATATACTGAGATCGGCCAGATCAGATCCCTGCCCCTGGCCGAGCCGGTGATTCAATTCTACTGGCCCCAGGCCATGGCCACACAGGCCCCGAGGCACCATGTGACCCTGGGTGAATTCAATACATATATCTCACTGGACCAGGGCCCGGGGGCTCTACCGAACC